CTGGACTGGAAAGACTGTTGTATTGCAGCTAGTTCTTTCTGTGAAGACAGTAGGATTATAAAATCAAAAGACAAGGTGGACTGTTTTCTGCTCAACCAAGCATATCTAAAGCACATGATAAGTTTGAAGCAATAATTTCTGTTATTTTAAGAAATGCTGCATGGAATTATTACCTGGTTGCAAGAAAACATCATGTAGAAGGATAATATTAGAAATTTAAAAGGAGCATGGACAAAAGTAAAAAAAAAATCTTTCCCAAAGAACTCCCTTTATAAACCGTCTATGACTTTCTTTTTCATTCAGAGTTTGTCCTAAGCCTTTTCTCTCTAAACAACCAGTCTCATTTTAGGACAGAATTACCTTCTTTTTCCCTCAACAAAATGTATTTCTACTCCTTATATCTTTCTCATGTATTTCCTATTTTCCCACATGCAGAGTTGCTTATTTCCATCAGTCCTAATTACATTTAGCAGAATTTTAACTCTTAGAAACCTTAGTCTCCAGTGAAAACTAAGTAGTAACCAACTGTGCACTGTCTGCTATATCAAAACTCTTTAGATCTGAAATCCATGAATACATTTCCTAATTTCTAAAAACATGCTTTTCCATAGTGCAATCTTTCAATAAAGCATAAAGCACGTTTGCAAAGAGACCCAGTTATCCTCAGTTTCTCTGTGATAAGAAGCCAAAGCTGGTAAACCTATGTTCAGTAATCAGTGCTTTAGTATTTTATCTTATTTGGAAAAGATTTAGATATCCAATGAATTCAATGCAATTTATCATTTAACTTAGCAAAACTTCAAAATTTCAGCTGAAAAGATTTTGAAAGCTATTTTAACAATTACCCATGAGAACTTTATGAGACAGACAAAATTAACTGTCATTTTAACCCATTTTGGGGGACAAATTGCAACAGAAATAACATGAGCTTATTTGACCTTTAGCAATCATTGGTAGAATAAAAGCTTTATATTTAATGCTGATAACTCCAAAGACATGTCTACCTTAATTAAACTAACGAACTTACATTAGCTTAAATACTGAATATGTTGCACACAAGTCAACCTAAAAGTCAGTCAATTTGTTTAAAAAGTCGCTGGGACTTTTCACTTTTTTTCAACTTTAAAGTCACTGTCAATTTTTAGCTGGGGCACCTGTGGGGAAATCTCAAGTGGGTGGTTTAAGTCCAGGGAGGGGTGCTTGTCACTCCTTGGTAACAAGGGTAGAAGGAGCCAAGGGCGGGCGCTGGAGACGCAGAGGACGTTACAGGAGTCAGTCACGCCAGCCGGCCCCTGGGGCTACAGAGACAGGAGGAGGGGGAGGAGGTGAGGTGTGGCCATCAAGGCTGAAGGCAGATAGAAGCCCAGAAAGCAGAGAAAGAGGACTCAGGGTCCTAGAGTTCAACAGCTCAGACAGATGAACAGACACATGTTTTCTTTCCACCAACAGAAAGTGAAAATACGCAGTCGATGTTGGGCCGGAGAAGACAGGGAACCTCCTCAAAACAAAAGGAGTTTTGGCAGCTGCTTGGGAATATTCCTCAAGGTCCGCATCCCAAAGTAGACTAACCACAGACGATTGGCTCCAATTATAGCCATTAACCCAGAGTGAATGAGGGAGAAACCCTCCCCTCCCCCACCATGCAACAAGAGCCAGGCAACATTCATCCAGTAGTCTCAAGATATATTTCTGACACACAAAAGAAAAAGCAAACAAATAGGAGACAGGTAACTCAGGGAAAAGAGGAAGGCATGTACATGATCTTGGCAGTAACCTGTTTACAAGAGAGACAAAGGGGAGCACATAGAGAACATGGCAGAACACAGTCAAATGGTGGATTAATAGAAGTAGGAGGGCCCAAGGCAGCTGAGCTGATGGTGGATTGAGGGATAGAGTGTGAGGAGAAAGGTGTCCTCAGGCCCTCTAAAGGTGTATGGAATAGATCAGGATTTTGGTACGGGGCCCTAAAGGCCTGACCATATGGGATTTCAGTCCAACTTCCCTGACACCTACAAAAAAGGTCTAACTGATAAATAGTACTGAAGTTTAAGGACCCATAAATGGGCCATTTTTCATCATTCTCCAGAGAATATTGAGGCCAGGCATTATCATAGAAGAAGATAAGATGCTTCTTTCAATCCTGTTGTCCAAATTGACTCCAGTGTGTTAGGAGACAGCCCATAGGGGAATCCTTTGGGACTGAAGAAGTTGAACCCATAGTCAATTCCTACAAAACGAATGAGGAGAATACATTAACTAACTGGGAGTCCATTATCAAAATCCCCCTTGGCTTCCGAATGGTGACCTGTCAGGAATATTGCTGAAGGTTCCTGGGGTTCAGAGTGGGGGGAGGTGTCCCTTTCTCTTGACTGCTCTGACACCTTTGTACTACCAGAGAAGGGATGTTGACCTCCCTTTGCTTCCCAATTGCAGACTACAGCGGGTGCTGGTGAATGGACTGAAACGCTGCAGAGATTGGAGCTGCCTCTTTCCATTTTGGGGGACAACCAATAACGCTACCCTTTGTAAGCCTCTAGATCTAGCATTCATGGATGGGGTAGAGGTCCTGGCCTTTGTTAAGAAGGGGCAGCTATTTTTTTAAAACATTTTTTAATTTAAATTCAATTAATTGGGAAGCCTGGGTGGCTCAGTTGGTTAAGTGTCTGCCTTTGGCTCAGATCATGATCCCAGGACCCTGCGATCAAGTCCTGCATCAGGCTCCTTGCTCAGCGGGGAGCTTGCTTCTCCCTCTGTCTGCCACTCCCCCTGCTTGTGCTCTCTGACAAATAAATAAAATCTTTAAAAAAAATAAATTCAATTAATTAACATATAATGTATTACTGGTTTCAGAGGTACAGGCCTGTGATTCATCAGTCTTATATAATTCCCAGGGGTAGCTATTTTATATCTTATTAAGCATCACATATCTAAGCTAGAAGTACTTTCCATCTGAGAGCAGGACCGAGAACACCAAATAGCCCATGCGTAAGGACAAAATGATAGATATGAAAAAACAAAAGTATAGAACTCCTATCTAATCTGGGCAACTCTTTCTTTCTTTCTTTCTTTCTTTCTTTCTTTCTTTCTTTCTTTCTTTCTTTCTTTCTTTCTTTCTTTCTTTCTTCTTTTTTTTAAAGTAGGCCCCTTGCCCAAAGTGGGGCTTGAACTCACAACCTTGAGATCAAGAGCCACATGCTCTACCAACTGAGCCAGCCAGATGCCCCCAGGCAACTTTGTTGTGAGCTTTATCCATGATCCAGTCTCAAGGGAACAGTCTTCTGTTGGGTGAGTGCTCCAACTAGGTAATAGTTCCCACCAGTCCCTTTTGGGAAGCACACAGTCAGACCTATCTTGGATTTTGTGCTCATCAAGGGATCACGCCTGGTTATTTAGGGGAAACCTTACATGGGAGTCTTGAGATTGGCGGCTGTCTTAAAGACATATGTGGCCACCCCATGCCTGACAATAACATATGCATTAAAAGAACAGGAAAAATAGGAGAGTGATTTCTGAGCCCAATGCCTTTAGAGCTGAGGTAATAATGTCCAGCCAGGCAGCAAGAGTCTCTCCCTCCCTGTTGCGTAGCCATGTGCGAGAGGTCCTGTCCTGAGCACTTGGTCAAGACACATTCCAAAGGGTCATATTATTCAGAACATCTCTGAAAAAGAAAAAGAACAGGTAATAAACAAACACTGGGGGTAACGAAGGTTTACTAAGTTGCATTGACACTCTTGGATTCACTCCATTGTCCCCGTACGGGCCACCAAAAATGTTGTGGGATCATTGAGCGATGGTCAAGAAAGAATTCTTGAGATGTTGTATGGTGCAACTTGCTAAGTTTATTTAAGTAGCACAGAGATAGGACCAGTGGGCAGAAAGTGCTGAACTTTTGCTGCATGAAGCTGGTGGTTATATGCTTAGTGCTCAAGGGGGAGCGGGTGTACAGGGAGTATTAGATTATAAATGTCTTCTTTGAATTTCTACATTCACAAGATTTCTCTGGTGCTTATCATTCATTTCCATATTAACTATCAGCGAGATTTACAGGCAGTCATGAGATCCTTTAAGAATGTAGCCACCATCACATATTTGGTCCTTATTGAAACTATGCAGGCTATAGGTAAGCCTTTCAGGCTAAAGGTGAACATTTTTCTGCCTCTATCCCGCATCAAAAGGACAGACAGGCAGACCAGTTAGCTGCAACTGACTGTTCAGGCAAGAATTGCTGAGAATCTGAATTTTAAGGGCAGTGGAAATAGCGAAGACAATTTTGTGGGGTTTACTTCAGATGGGGACTGCTTAAAATAAGAATTCTCTCCTCCCCCTCTGCTATTTTCTAACTTAGAGGTTTGCGTTACAATATTAAGCCCGATCCCCCTTTCCCTCAGATTTTTGTTTCCCCAGATTGCGAAGGGTCATGCATCATTCGTGCTCAGTCCTCTGCTCTGCACCACAGTCTCCCCTCGTGTCCAAATAGCTCTCTTCAAAGCCTCTTTTGTGCTTGGGTTTTTGGTCCGGGAATGGGGGAAGGAAGCAGAGGTAACTAAGCGGGCCAGAAGTCTCTGGATATAATAAAAGTGTCGTCACCAGCGGTTAAAAATGACAGTTGGTAAGGCCACAGCGCACCCAGCGAATCCCGCCTCCTGTAGCGGCTCCTGGAGGACCAGCGGGGCCTGGGGGCGGGGCCGCAGTCTGAACGCGCGTGGGGGGGCGGGGCTGGGGGAGGAGTTTTGGCCCGAGCCCCAACGGTACCTTCTCCTGCTGAGTGGGTTGGAGCTGGAGGCGGGTTTGGTTTGGGAGGGCGAGGTTTCAGACCATGCCCAAGTCGCAGCCAAAGACTGCAGGTTTTCTGCTTCTGCAACGTCAGAGTTAGGGTAGGGCCAGGGGCGGAGTTTTAAGCCCCGTTCTCGGGCTCTTGTTTCTGATTGAACCCAGCGGGTCCTGGGGCGGGTCCTGGGGCGGGTCCTGGGGTGGGTCCCACTTGGCTTTTGACAGCTCTCTCTCGCAAAGCCGCAGCCGAGTCCCGTGGGTTCGGGAAACTGTAGCCCCGCTCTCCGCGCGTCCCCGTCCCCCCGTGGCCCCGGCCCCGGCCATGAAGCGCTTCTTCTCCTGCTCCAGCTCACAGGTGGCGGTAGGTGCCAAAATGTTTGGGAGGACGGGGCTGGGGTCTGAGCCCTGCGGTGACAGAAGTCTTGAATCCCGTCTTCATGCACCATCGCCTTTTCTCTTTCTGGGTCTTTCCAGTGCTTCCACTCCTGCAGTGCAGCCTGCCGGCCCTGCCTTCCTCAAGGCCCTGTCCCCTGGCCTCTGACTTGCCTTCCTAACCTCTGCCCTCCCCACGTTCCTTTCCGTTGGCCCTTTCTTGTCCTACTAGCATGTACACCCCCAACTCCTGAGATGTTTCCTGCAGCCCCTGTCTACTTCTGCTCTCTCCCAGTACTGAACACCTCCAAGCATCTGCCCTATCCCCAGCCCCCGCTCAGCCCCAAGTTCTGCTCTATGCCCCAAGTCCTGCCCCACGGCCCCATTTTCAGCCCTGACCTGTCCTCACAATTCTGCCCTCCCATAGGGCTCTATCCTTGCTGTTTCCTCTCGGCCCAGCAAACTTCCAGGCCCGTGCCTTCCCCTAGCCCTGGTTCATAGTCTACTCTGTCCCTGCCCCCATCTCGCCCCATGCCCCTTCCACTCTCGTTCTCTCATCAGCACCACTGCCCGACATCACTCCAACCCTCTTTACAACTGGTGCTCCCACACCAGCAGCCTCCGCCTGCCCCCCCATCAACCTCTGCGCCTCTCTTCTCGGTGATTGTCCCACACCACTTTCCCCCCTTCCCCCCGATCTCCTCCTGCCTGCTCTCTGTGGGTTAATGTTGCAGTCCACCATCCTGACAGGCCCTGGCAGAGGAGGCATAGTTGGCTGGCTGCTCCCCAAGGAACTGGGTAAGTTGCCTGCAGAATCCACCCTGGCCAGCTCACTGCAGTGTCTGGTTATCAGACTGGCTCTTGGGCCAGTCAAGGCCTTCTGCCTGCTTCTCCCCAGAATCTTCCTTCATTCTAAACCCTCACCCAGTTGCTTAGGGCTTGTACTCTGCCTCCTTGGGCTGAGTTGAGGGGAAAGGCGACAGTAGGAGAAGAGGATAGAGTGGATGCACTCAGAGTTCCCAGTAGAAGTCACTCTACTCCCCACGTTCTCCCAGAACCCAACGCAAGGCCAATTACAGAAGGTGGGGCACAGAGAGAGAGTGTAGCTCTTTTCCCTGCAGATCTCTTATAGAGAGACCTCCTATCTGGGGATGGCATTTTCTGTGGAGATTGGGATTATGGCTCATTTAGAAGTGAGGTAGCCAACGACCTGTGGGAATATTACGTAGCCTAACCCGATTTACTGGTGTCATTCATAAGCAAACATGAGAAATGCTCAGCTCACACTCTTCAAGGGCAGGCCACAGAAGCTTGGAAGTGAGCGAGCTATGAGGCAAGAGTAGGAACTCTGTTGAGGCCTGTCCTTGTCCCACTTGTGATTGCTTCTTCACGTAGTCTCCACACACATAGCTCAACCAATCAAAATGCATTTACAGGATGATTAGTATAGGTACCAGAAACTGAGGCAACGCAGACTCTGTCTTAACTGATAATGATTTTCTTATTCACACGGATCCTTCCCTAGTGACTGAAAGTCCTCTGCATTGCCCTTCCCTTTCAGGTCTGTGGAGTCTGCCTGCCCTTAGGGATGGGGAGATTGTTTCATTTTTCCTGATTCTCCAATCCTTGGTCTCCAGTCTTTCCAAAGTTCTGGAGTGAGCAATGGACTGAATGTTGGAATTTGGAAATATCCCTCCCTCTGTTCTTCACCCCAGCTCTACAGAGTTTTGGCCATGAAGAATTTCCACCCATTCGAAACTCTCTTTAGTGTAACATGCTTATAGGAAGTAAATCAGGTGGATTTAGAACTATCTAGTTGGAAAGAAAACTGTTTTCTCAGTCAGGATGGGATCAAAAAGAACTTAAAAATAGGCCAGTGTCAGCTGCAAATTGTTTCCTCCTGAAACTTCCTCACCCTTATGATAAATTCCTCCACTCCCTGGGTGGCTAACCACTCTGAACCCGTTTGTCAGAGAAATAGTGTGACAGCCTTCTTGGCCACTCCCAAAGCCTCGCTTCCCAGTCATGCCAGACGATTGCCCCTGCCTGTCTCCACTCCCACCCCTGTGTCCAGGGCCAGAGCCCTGCGTCCTTCGATTGAGATCAGGACTGACAGGTCAGTGATCATTTTCAAATTAATCTAAGTTATCCAGAATATAGGAAGCTACACACACACACACACACAAACACACACACACACACACACAGCTCTTATGATCTCATTTTATTTTAGTCAAACAGGATGCCTTTGAGGGTGTCTTACATATTAGCTTACTCTACCTACGTAGGAAGTAGACCAGAAAATAGCTTTAAATATTTGGCACTTGAATCAGCTTAGAGGAATGTCAGTTGCATTAAAAAAAAAAACCGAAAAACTAAAAACCTGAGAGTCAGCTCCTGGTTCCTCTAGGCAGCCTTTCCGTTTCCACTCACCTGTCCTACAACTGTAGCCACTCTTTCTCTCTCTACTGTTGGTGTGTTCCATCTCAATAGGATGCTTATAGGCACACAGCCAGAGATTAGGAGAGGCTGCAATTAGTTCTACAAAAGCCCCCTAGTCTTGGCTACAGAAATACAAAGCTTATGCTTGTTTTTGAGTCTGCTGATTAATGTGGTGATTGCTCCCCGGAGGCTATGATGGTAATCCAGCGCCTCTTTTCTAAAGTGCTGGGATGAGCAATGGATGGATCTTCGAGTTTGGAAGCATCCCTCTGTCCTTCTTCACCCTAGCTCTGCAGAGGTTTGGCCATGATGAATTTCCACCTATTCTAAATTTCTCTTGGTAGAACAAGATTATGGGAAAAACATCAGGCAGATTTAGAGCCGTCTAGCTGGAAAGAAAAGTATCTACACTGCTAAGAAGCACCTTTACCGTCTCTACAGCCTGGCTGTTATACGTTGGCTGATACGAGCAAGGTCCCTTCCTCTCATGCCCCTGTATGGAGAATTCTGAACCCAGAATTGCTGGCACATCCAAAATGTGCCCAGCAAGGCTGGGAAGGATGGGGATTGTGCACTGACTATGTGGCAGACAATGTTAGGTGCTTTGTGGCCTGTTATATCATTAGGGAACTGAGGTTCCGAGAAGTTGTTACATGCCGAAATTCACAAGGGTAGGAAGTGATAGAATCCGGATTTTGAACAGAGAACTTCAGACTGAAGTCAACTGATGGCAGTGTCCTGCGGTGGAGGCATAATTGTAGCTTCCTGCTTTTTCTGAGGGTAACTGGTCCCCAAGGGACATGGGATGACATGTTCCTAGATCCCAGAGTCTGTTTGGTTTATGGAGCAGTCATTTGGCTTATTTTGTGCTTTGAGAGTTAACCTGTTTGGAGACTCTTCTCTGTGCGGGGAGTAGCATCTGGGGGTGGGTGGCTTTGGCCTGGAGGCATTCTTAGACTGTTTACATGGTAATAAGTAAACCTTCTTCCAGAGCTCTGTAGTAGTGTGTGTGGTCTGGTGGTGTGAACTGGGACTGGGCGCCTCGTTGCCGGGGTTCTAATCTCAATTTTGCCCCTATTTTGTGGTGTGACCCCAGACAGTTATTCAACCTCAGTGTGCTTCAGTTTCTCCTGCTTTCAAATAGATCCAATAATATCAGCCCCAACTCCTTTCCAGGGATGTTGAGAGGCTAATTGAAATAGCACTGGAGGGCGCCTGGGTGGCCCTCAGTTGGTTAAGCGACTGCCTTCTGCTCAGGTCATGATCCTGGAGTCCTGGGATCGAGTCCCGCATCGGGCTCCCGGCTCGGCGGGGAGCCTGCTTCTCCCTCTGACCCTATCCCCTCTCATGCTGTTTCTCTCTCTCTCTCTCTCAAATAAATAAATAAATAAAATCTTAAAAAAAAAAAAAGAAATAGCACTGGCAACGGCTGTGAAGAATTACAAGTATTACCTTAGAATCCATCTAGCCCCAGATCATTTTATGGCTTGGACATTTCAACTCTTCCCTGTTTTTGCTACATAATTTGCCCTGACTAGGTAAACAGTATTTGAAAATTAGTTATTTGACCCTATTTTTCCGTAGACCCTATTTTTTCCCACCTCCTCCCAAAGCCTCTTTCTTGTTGAGATTACACCTCATAAAATGTAAAGTGCCACCACTAATCCTTCACCACTTCCTGTTCGGTTATAAGAATACCACACACTTGTATGGCTTTTTCCAGTTTACAAATATACCTTATATGAGGTTAGCTCATTTAATGCTCACAACGTGACGAGGTAGTTATTATTTCCCACATGTTAGCGATGAGGACACAGAGGTGTTCAATCGCTTACCCCGGGTCACATAGCTGAGAAAGTAGCTGAGAAAGTAGCTGATCCAGGCCCTGAACTCAGGCCTGCTGACATAATATTCATTCAGGACCCTTTTCACCATCCTACAGACGTTTGCATCCCTTCTTCCTTTCCCTTTCCCTCTCTGGAGCCAACCAGGCCATTCTGTACTTTCAGCCCTGGGTGTTTTTACACGGCTCTCTTTCATGCCCTGTGATACCTCAATTATTGTAATTACCCCACCACCCCCTGCCGAAGTCAAGCTGAAATGATAGAACAATGCATGCCCAGGTGTGGCTTTTGCCTGGGACAGCTGCTCCCTGGCAGAGAAAAGAGGAGGGAGGGCAGGGGAGGGAGGAGCAGGGGAGCTGCCTCTTTCTGCGTCTGCAGGCCTAGCTAGAGACCTATCTTTGCCTTTAGCCGGAAGGGGAAAGCCAACCAGCTAAAGGGCATAGAAACGAGATGGGAAAACAGAAACTCTGCTTCCCCTCCTAGTTTTGGGGCCCAAAGCCAAACGGCAGAGATGGTATGGCTGGGTATTTGGACTCCTAGCTGTAATGCGAAGCTAGGTGCCTTGATTTCTCATAAATCCGAGGACAAGAAGCAGAGCAGCCTGGGGAGGTGAGAGGTAATGTGAGCCCAATTGGGAGTGGTCAGTGTGGCTCAGTTTGCTCCAGCAAGACCTAGAGAGCAAAAGGGAATGGCATCATGGCTAGGATTGCTCTGAGCTTGTGCACCTAACAACAATAATCACATGATGATTAAAAAAAAAAAAAAGGACATCTAAAATACCATGCATTCAGTACTAGAACAAGATTTTTAATCCAGGAGTCCAAGCACTTTTTGATCCAGGACTGACAATAACCAGCAGTAGTTTCTCAGTGGCATACGGATGTCCCTTTTCCCCTGCCGGGCTTCCTAACCATCTCCTTCCTTCCTTTTCCCACCCCAACCCCGCCGCCTGTGTTCACACAACCTGTGGCCCTGGACCAGGTGGAGAGATGGAACCGCCGTGATCAGAAGCTGCTGGAGGCGGTGCAGCGGGGGGATGTGGGGCGCGTGGCGGCCCTGGCCTCGAGGAAATCGGCCCGACCCACCAAGCTGAACTTGAATGGCCAGTCCCCGTAAGTGAGCCCTCCCAAGCCGCCCCCCGCCTTGATATGTGGTTCCCATTAAAAGCCTTAAATCCCAATATGAGGTAGGACCGGGAAGGCCTACAACCCCAGAGCCCTTTTTGTCTTAATCAGCAAGCGTATCCATCAGTGTTTGCTACGTATCAAGTGCTGCACACAGTGAGGGAAGAGATATTGTCTCTGAGTCTGACCCGTCTCACAGCCCAGATTGACAAAACTGGCAAAAAAAAAAAAAAAAAAGTACATAAAGCCCATGAAATAAACAGAAAACTGGTACATTCATTAAATACAGCGTTTATTTATTGCACAAGTAGGAGGGTGTGTAGTTTGGGAAGTTAGGAACAAAGTGGTAGTGGCCACGAGCATCACAGGGCTAGACGGAGTGATTTGGACGAGACGGATATTATCCCTTGTCCCTTCCAATGTCCAGCCCTCTGCTCTGCTCTGGCTGCCTCCTCCTATGACAGCCCAGTCTGTTAAGGGTCGTGTGGTGAGAGCAACAGGTCGTTGTGTTCCGTGGACGCCCGTGCGATAGGTTGGGTTGCTTGAGGCCTGTGTAGCTCTTACTTCTGCCTTCGCTTCCAGCCGCCTCTGGCTCTGTGACAGTAAGCCACAGGGCCTTCTCCTCAGGAAGTCAGACTGGGGGAACTTCCTTGTCTGCTTTGGGGATTGGCTTTGGGGTAAAGGAGCATGACAGGCAGTGCTTATGAAGATTCTCGTATCCCTCATCCCCTGGTCCCCTCATCCTTCTGCTCCTTGGCCTTGATTCTGGCAGGTTCCATCTGGCAGCCTCCAAAGGCCTGACAGAATGTCTAACCATACTGCTTGCGAACGGGGCTGACATCAACAGCAAGAATGAGGACGGTGAGTTAGCCCGTGCGCTGGGCCCCGCGGCGGGCCTCTCCCTTTATAGCAGCCGTGGTGGGGGCCAGCTCCTGGAGGTTCCAACTGTAGACCCCCACTGCTCTCCTCGTCAGGTCTGGCCAGCATCCTTCCAGGGCTCCCCTCCCTGCAAGCTGGCTTGACCTCACCTCCGCTCCCACCTCCACCGCAGGTACCAGGCACTCGGGGAACAGGAATTTCTGGCCCCGTGGGGCTGAGAGCTTCTCTCTCTAATCTTCCCCTGATTATCTGTGCGTCTCTTGCCTTCCCTCCCTGTGAGTCACCGGCATGCAGGGGGCCTCCCACCTTCCATCTCCCCCTCTTCCTCTTTCCAGGCAGCACTGCCCTGCACCTGGCCACCATCTCTTGCCAGCCACAATGTGTCAAAGTCCTGCTGCAGGTAAGAGCAACCTCTCAATACTGCTCTTATGAAGGGAAGAAGGGGGCCCAGAATCTTCTAACTTGGTCTTGTAGTCATATGCAATCTTTGGTCAAATGGACCGCTCTCATCCCCAGTAAGAGAAGTGGTAATCCTGTACTCATCAATTCACAAACATTTATGTGACACCTACCATGTGCAGATACCACGCTTAAGGCGGCCCTTGAGGGCAGGTCATAAAGCAGAGTTCCCGGGGACTGCCGGCCAGTCATCCATATGCCTTTGGCAGAGCCCCTGCGCGGACCAAGTGCTGAGAGGCTGGGCAGGTGGAAGGAGGCCAGAGGTGTTCAAATTAATGCAAACTTCCACTGCCTGCTTTTAAGGAGCTTGCAGTCTAGGAGCACTAAGAGAAATATATATGTGAAATGACACACAGGCAATCTATAAACCTGTCTCCAAACGCATAAAAGGCACAGTTCAACAGGCCACTGGGCAAAGGGCTGTTCTGCTTTTGTTCTTCCCGGATCTTTCCAAGTTCCCCAATTTGTATCCTAAAGTACCACGCATGGCCTCAGGTGTCACTTTCCCTAACATGCTTATTTGTCTATAATCTGATTTTTCTTAGGCCCTAGGTTTAAGAACAGGGGCTGAAATTCAAGGCTGCCTGTCATCTGCAAGGAGTGGACTGGGCTTGCCTAGTAGTTGGCCAGAGCCACGGTCCTCCTTCCCCTCCCCGTAGTACTATGGAAGTTGGCGAG